GGGCTTCGGGCTCCGTGGGGCCGGCCCCGGCTTCGCGCCCGGCGGTCGGGGGTGCTGCCAAGAGAAAAAAAAATATTGTGTCGCGTTTCGCGGGGGCGCGATTTCTCGGGCCCTTTCGGCGTATACGAATTATGCTTTCATTTTCTTGTCCGTATGGGGGTGGTTGGCTCTTTGCCGCCCCCCCGCCAAAACGAAAAAAAAAAAACCTTTTTATGATTTCAGACAACGCTTTCCTGTGTACTTTTATTCTTACCAGAAAGTAATGAACCAGGTAGGGCCGTATGGAGGTTAATGATTTGCTCTCGTTGGTGGAGCAGTGCTACGAAAAGTTGTACCGAAAAAAAAGGACCTTGTTTGTTTATGACTCATCAAATTTCTGCAGCAGCCCTTCGAAGGCTCTTGATGCTATAAGAAGCTACGGAATGAAAAGCGACGTGCAGACGACAGAGGGTTTTCGAAGTGCTACCTGCGGCATATTGTTCGGTGAGGTGGTTACAAAGTCGCCCTTCAGCGAATCCTCCGTTTTACTTATCGCTCTCTTGTCGTGCAGGCTTTTTGCCTACTTACGGCTTTTCTGCAACGGAGGGAAGCTTTATTTTCTTGATAACCGAGCTGTGGCACATTCCCTTGCTGTGCTGAAACAGTGGGTAGCAGATATTCTTGCCGTTCCAAAAGTGCTGAGGATGGGGGACCGATGTGTGCAAGTCAGCATCGTGCGTGTTGTGGAGTCGGTATTAAGTACGAACGGACTTCTTACCGAAGAATGCAGCGCTGGCCTTGCGCGCATTTTGGTAATGGCGGCGCTTCAGAACAAGAGATTATACTTCTTTCCCAACGATATTCATAGAGAAGAGCTTTTCCATTGCTTCACTTCATCAAGAGGCCGTTTAAGTGATCCTTCAGTTTTGGAAAGCGTTGTGTTGCTTCCATCATCATTGGCTCTCGAAGCACAGCTTCTTTTACTTGACACGAATGGCCAGGGTGGCAGTATTTTGCTTTTTTCGTGCTCTCTTCAGATGGAGGGTAATGCACTAAATACATTCGTGAATTTGTTGCGATGCCTTGATGTTGGTTTCGTTGCCTCCCAGCGAGTGCTGAGCTGTGCACTGAAAGAGGCTCTTTTTGATATAGGTGTGGTGCCTTTGGAACGCTTATCGTTGAAGTACAGTGCGGTTGTACAAGTAGCAACGGGTGCGACACCGTTTCACAGTTTGCAAGAGTTTCTTGCATGGATGCAGCATACTGGGTCTGCAGATCCGGATTCTGATGCGCATATCGGAAAGGTGCAGAAGATTGTTGTTTCTGACAATGATCTTGTTTGGCTTCATGGTAAGGAAGACGTAGCAACCGTGTTGGTTCCTGTCGAAGACCCTGTTGTTCATGATGTCATTACAAAAAGATGTGAGCAGGCATTGCAACTTGCTCGTGTGGCCCTGCGTGGCTCATCTATACAAAACCCTGAAAGTCTGGGCGCGTGTGAGGTATTCTTCGCCGAGTACCTGCATCATCGTTTTTTGCTTCACGAAGAGAAGAATGTCTACCTTCAGGATTTGGTTCACGTTTTGCGGTTTACGTTGCTTTCACATGCTTCCTATGCCGGTTGTACGACAAAAGAGTTTTCACACATCAACTTTATTGAGTTGGTTGCAAATGTCGTGGAGGGTAATTCCTCTTATTGTAGACGCCGCGAAGACAACACAAGAACAAGGGACACTGAATGTGTTGCTCCATCTGCGGACGAATCCGACCGTAGATGCAGTGAGGAACTTGGGCGATGTGCTGAGGTAATTAGGATGGCGATTGATAGAGTGGCTTTACTCTTTCGAGTAAAAGTGCTCTAGCGATATGACGAAAGGACAACATTCAGCTTATTCTTCTTTTTCATGGTCTCTTGAGTGTCTCTGTTTTTTTATGGGTCTGCTGCGTATCGTTTTTCTTGTTTTTCCACATCTCTGGGAACCTCAAGGAAATGGCTGCGCGAACCGAGGATGACTGGGGCGAAATGGTCCTTCCGGGTGTTTTTATGCTGCGGCGGAAAACAGCTCCCCTTGAAAAGAGAATAGTTGGCCTCTCTGCGGGTAGTACTCAGTTTGAGATCCTTCTTCACGAGATCGAAGTCATCGAAACGCATATCGACAAGTTGAAAAAAAGCAATGCTGAAATTCGTGAGTATCTAAAGGAGGCGGAATGCAGAAAAGAAAATCTTGCTATTTCCTGTACTTCTGGAGGTGACATTTCTGTGTGTGAGCCGGAGAATGATGACGGCGTCTTTGAGGATGCTATAGCTGAAAATGAAGCACTCATATCATGCAAGGAGAAAGAATTAGCCGAATTGAGTCGATTGATACAGAGCAATCGTTGTGCCTGTAGCTACAATTCGGGGAAGATAACAGATGCGGAGATTCCCGTCACGGATGATACAGGGAGAACTGATACGGTAGAGAACGTGATGGAAGAAGAGGAGGATGAGGAGGAGGAGGAGGAAGGATGTGAGGAAGATATGTCTAATGCGCGCTTTTGTCTTTGATCCTGTACCAAAGTGTAATGAATTAATTCTGTTTTGTTTTTTGTTTTCTATATTTTTATTTTCTTTTCGCAATGCGGAAGTGTATTTGATAATAAGCTTCTGTAGAGGTGCTTGCTCTTCTATTTTTACTGATACTAATTGGCTTGCAGAAGAACTCCACTCTAAAGAAAAGAAAAACTATGCCCCCAAAGAAGAAGGATGATAAGTCACAGCAGACACGTACTGTTCTTCTGGGTCGACCCGGAAGCAGCCTGAAGGTTGGCATTGTCGGACTTCCCAATGTTGGCAAGTCTACATTTTTCAACGTTCTCTCTAAAAAGGGTGTTCCGGCGGAAAACCGACCGTTCTGCACAATAGATCCCAACACTGCCGACATTAACATTCCTGATGAACGGTTTGACAAGCTAGTACAGATCAATAAGCCAGCATCAATAGTCCCTGCCCAAGTTCACATTCGGGATATTGCTGGGTTGGTGCGTGGGGCCAGCAATGGTGAGGGGCTTGGCAACGCCTTCCTGTCGCATATCAATGAGTGTGATGGAATCATACATATGATTCGTATCTTTGAAGAGGTGGAGATTACTCACGTTGAGGGCGATCTGGATCCTGTTCGTGATCTGGAGATCATATTTTCAGAACTTGTTATGAAGGACTTGCAGGTTGTCAATGGGCTTATCGATAAGGTGACACCTATAGTAAACCGGGGAATTGACAAGAGCAAGAAGGCTGACTTGGAGATTCTCCTCAAGGTGAAAGAACACCTCGAGAAGGACGAGCAGATTCGGTGTTGCCAGTGGAACGGTAAGGAGATTGACTATCTCAACACTCTTCAGCTTCTAACAGCAAAACCCGCCATTTTCTTGGCTAACATGTCTGAGAAGGACTTCATTCGTCAGCGCAGCAAGTGGCTTCCGAAGCTGAAGGAGTGGATCGACCAGCACACCGGTGAGCCGCTCATTCCGGTTTCGGCAGAGCTAGAGTCTAATTTACTCAATATGTCTCCGGAGCAGGTTGAGGAGCACTGCACGGCTAACAAGACCAAGTCTCAGGTATCCAAGATCATTACCACCGCGTACCACGCCATCAATTTGATTCATTTCTTCACTGCAGGATCAGATGAGGTTAAATGCTGGACGATACAACGAGGTACAAAGGCTCCTCAAGCAGCAGGAAAAATTCACAGTGACATGGAGAAAGGGTTTATCTGCGCAGAGGTGATACACTGGGAGGACTACGACAAGCTTGAAAATGAAGCTGCATGCCGTGAAGCTGGAAAGCAACACCAAGAGGGACGTAATTATGAGGTTCAAGATGGCGACATCATCTTTTTCAAATTTAACACCTCCAAGGGAGGAAAGAAGTAAACTAGGCTCCTCTTAACATATACCCCCCAAAAAAAAATGATCCGCAGATTCTAATTAACATATTTTGTTTGATTCCATTCCTTGAGTCTAAATGAGAAGAGCAATTGACTTCTCTGGAAGGGAAGGCGGAAACCGAAAAAAAACATAGTTGTCATTTTGCTATTGTTGCTGATTTCATCCGCCTCTTTAAATTTATTTTCTAAGTTTCCTCAAGCTTCCGGGCAGAAAGGACGCATATCATCAATGAGGTCCCTGTCGGCACTACGCGGAAACACTCAAACACTGCTATACACGCCTGTGAGAGATAAATACTCTATTTTGATAGAAGATGATAACTTCCGCGTAGGCGCTAGCAGTATGCAGGGATGGCGAAGCACTATGGAAGATGCCCATACTATTCATCTCTCTTTGCCAGAACTACCGTCCCACATAGCCGCTGAGGATGGTGCCATAGCAGCGGTTTTTGATGGACATTGTGGAAGTAAGTCGGCCCAAACTTCTGCTACACATATATTAGAGTGGATAACCTCAACGTCTGCATTCAAAGAAGGAAATATGGAACAATCCATTCGTGACGGATTCATTGCGGGTGATGCAGCGATGTTGAAAAGTTCGCCACATGATTTAAGCGGGTGCACCGGAAACTGTGTGATGATAGTACAGAATCATATTTACTGTGGTAATGTTGGTGATTCCCGAGCGGTGCTCTGCCGCGGAGGAACCGCTGTGGCACTGAGTGAAGATCATAAACCGGCGTTACCGAAGGAGGCAGAACGCATCGCAAAGGCAGGTGGCTTTGTTCAAAACTGCCGTGTTAATGGAGTCTTGTCACTAAGTCGAGCTTTAGGTGATTTCGCATTCAAAAATAGCGATTTACGCCCTGAAGAACAGGCAGTGACAGCAAACCCGGATATAGTTCGTATTGAGTTAACTCCATCGGACGAATTCTTTATTATTGCCTGCGATGGTGTATGGGATATGGTGTCCAATGAGAAAGCTGTCGAAATTGTCCGAAATGAGGTAGCAGACCACAGCGATCTTTCGTTAGCATGTGAACGCCTCATGGATGCTTGTCTGGCAAAAGTATCGAGTGGTGCTGGGACTGACAATATGACTGTTATCATTCTGCAGTTTAAGAGCCATTTCCTAAAAAAAGTAGAGAGCAAGTTTGGCACTGCTCCCTTGGACACACAGAAAGAATGAGATGTGTTATTTTGTCTTTTCGGTGACTCTGTTTGGATGCGCTGAGTGGAGCGACAGAATGCTTTTGAGAAACGAGAAGAGAGGATGCATTTTTGATGTTTAGACGGGTGCCATCATAACTCTTATAGGTAAGGCTGCCTACGTCTGTCAACAACGGAACGGATCCCCTTACCTCCGTGTTTTCCCCATCTCCCAAATTGGTGGCTTCTGGCTTCCTCGCGATTACTACTATAAAGAAAAATGACTTCTAATAATCCAAAATTGGATTCCCCACCCTTTTACGAATGACGTGCTGCTTGTTTCTGCCTCTTTGCCTTCCTATTCCTTTTTCTTCTCGTCCGCCTCTCGAAAATTTGAAACCCGTGACCCTTGTACCAAGTATTGTTACTCTTGTTAGTCTGTGGAAATGCTCAATGAAGGGCAATGGCGCATAGTAGGGACGTACCAATGGCGACCCTTGTACCAGGAATACTCAAATTTAGAGGAGAAGGATCTCTGTGAGGACGAGGTTCCTCTAAATGATATCCCTATCATTCTGTACGATACCAGACAGGAGGACAGGGGCATGTTAGCCCCTCGCTACATCGCAACGAAGGTGTCGGTACCGCAAGCCTCTGTTTCCAATGTGAAGGTACGATCTGGCCCGGCGCAGTTGTCAAATGCATCGACAGTGCCGGCCGTGCCTTTAGACCCTGCTGTCAACTGCGGTGTGACACCCTCCACATCCGGTTCCTCATTGCACACAAAAAAGATCCCATTCGTGGTTGCGACAACCCTTCCACAGCCAATGCATACTATATTTGTGTTGCCCTTTGTAATTTTGTTAGCTGATATCGCGGTTACAGCCGCTGGTTTAAATACCGTACCATCTAGCCCAACCCTTGTTGCATTGAGTTGCCTCTTGGTGCTCGCCCCTGATGTCGCAGCAATTGCCCTCATCTTTAAGAGAGGACGGTTTTCCAGTACGGCAGCGACCCATGTAGCATTATGGCCCTGCGTAGCCTTAATTTTTCTTTTCCCTTTTGTTTCCATGATCTTCGTGGTACATGTCTTCTTGAGGCTTATTCTTCTGCTATTCATCTATCGCCTCCGCGTGAGCACCCATACAACATACTTTACTTTCCAGTAGTCGACAGAATGATTGGAATTGTGTCAAGCAGGCATGCCAACAAAATCAAAACGAAACGAAAAGCTACAACCAAAGAATAAAACAGCGAAGAATGGATCAAAACTGGCGTGAATCCTCTATGAGAGGCAGGTGCACACATATTGCCTTTTCCACTTTGTGAGCTTCTCCTTCTATTTCTCTTGTATGTGTTGGATTGTATTTCCTTCCCATATACTTTATTAGTATTAGTATTGTTATTGTGACACAACCTTTGACTCAGTTTTAAGCAGAAGAAGTTTCTCTCAAAGACAAAAAACCCACATATCTAGTGAAGGCGACACCGTTATGCAAAAGGAAACTGATAAAATGAAGAGGAAAAAGGACGAGGTCCGCGATGAGGAGGGATCTGCGATCTTTCAATACGCTGACGGTAGTGTGTATGAGGGAAAAGTGGGCCGTCGCGAAGCCCCTATAGAGGTTCCCCATGGTATGCCCCCGCTGGTGGCCAGCCCACCACAAAAAGGGCAGCAACAACAGGAACCTTCCAACACAATTTCATTTCAGCAGGGAAAGGGTGCGTTTAAGGATGCGGGTGGCGCAGTCTACAAGGGCAGCTGGTCGGATGGAGCCATGAGCGGAGAGGGCATGCTGCAATTCCCCAGTGGGGCCATATATATCGGCGGCTTTCGATCCAACGATTTTTATGGAACGGGAATGTATAAGTGGCCTGACGGCTCCTATTACGAGGGACAATGGGAGAGTAACAAGATGCACGGGCTCGGCACCTACGTTGATGCTCAAGGCAAACGTTGGTTGGGAAAGTTCTTTCGTGGCCAAGGGGTCAACTTACTGGCTGAGGTCAACTTGTGATATCGCATTGGTGGGGGCAATTGGTGTGATGGAGCAGGATTGGGAACGACTGATGTCTGTAGCTGAGCTCCTGCGCCGGTGTTGGCTACTGAGTGAAAAACTGGAGAGTGCTTCTCTCTCTATCTCTCTATCTGTGTGTGTGTGTGTGCTGGAAATGTCAAATGATGTACAATGACGGAATCGCTACGGTCGTGTAGTGCATGTGGTGTTCAGAATACGTTGGATGTGCAAAAAAAAAAACCAAGAAAAAAACTGGCGATATTGTGTAATGGTGTGGCAAAAGGGAAATAGATGCCTGTGCTGGACTTGGTGATGTAGAGTTTCTTTTTTTTTTTGTTTGTTTCGTCTAGTTGCCTCTGTTGTAGCTACAACGTAGGCATGGCAGAAGAACTGAATGTGCATGAGCTTGCGGATCTGCTTGGGGATGATGCACTGCTCGACATGACAGCGCCGTCTGATGTTCCACAGCCTCAAGTTGACGCAGATGTAGACTCAAACGGGAACCAAGAGACAAAAGAGAAGCGTAAAAAGAAGAAGAAGCGACCACGTCACACTCCAAAGGAAAGCAAACGGTCTGGGAAGGAGGAAGGTAACAGCGATGGTGATGATGATGATGATGATGATGGCGACGATGAGACCCCGAGGAAGCGTTCCAGGTACGTCATTGACGCGGCAGAGAGTGGCGATTCGGACTCCGACGATGACGGCTTTATTGCTGGCAGCGACGAGGAGGACGAGGGAGAAAGGTATGATGGCGACCTGCCAACATACGAGCCACGCAAAGCGCACATATTCCGTGAGGGGGAGGAAAACATGACGAGCGAGGAGTTGGCACGCGCCATTGAGGAGCGGCACCGCGCCAGCAAGCGGAATGAGGGACAGACCGAGGCGCTTTTATCAGCAGGCCTCGGCAAGGGAAAGCTATCGTCACTACGGTTTGCTGCGCATCTGCTGCCGCAAGAGACCGACCCGAAGGTGTTCGCCGTGAAGTGCCGCCCACGAATGGCGCGCCTGCTTGTGGCGCGTGTCGTCAACAAGTGCTACGCATACCGCATCGGGCGGAACTTTGAGCGAAGGAAGGTGGACTTGGGTATCATTTCTGTGTTTTGTCTCGACCATGTGAAGGAGTACATCTATGTCGAGGCACACCGTAAGGTATTTGTTGAGAACGCCCTTAATGGGTTGCATGGATTATTCCGCTACAACATTACCCTTGTGAATCCGTCCGAGCTGATGCAAATGATGGAGCAGCGACCTTCTACCGAGAAACTGCGCGTCGGTGCTTTTGTGCGACTGCGCCAGCGTCACTACCGCCTCGATCTCGCGCAGGTGGTGAAGGTGGATCCAAGCGGCCGCCACGTGACTGTGAAAGTAGTGCCGCGCGAGGACTTCGTTGGCAAGCCCTTCAACAAGCCCGAGGTGCGTCTGCCGCCACGCTTCTTCACCCCCAGTCTCGCGGCGTACGTGCAGGACCGCGGTGACCACTACCGCTGGGGAGACTTGACGTTCGATACGGACGGCTACCTCCTCAAGACCGTCTCCACCCGTATGGTGATCAACGGACCGCAAATGGAGAAGCCGCGCGTGGAGGAGCTCGCGGTGTTCTACAACAGCGACCGTGACCGCGTGCGTGAAGCTGTCCAGCGGCTTAACTCTGGTGGACGCCAGGGGGCGGACCTGCGCATTGGCGATACGGTACGGGTTGTGTCGGGCCAGCTGCGCGAGACAGTGGGTACCATTGAAAACATCTTCCTAGATACCAACACCGTGGCTTTGTCATGCAGAGTGCCAGAGAGGAAGGAGCCGATTAAGCTTCGTGTCGAGCTCGCCGCTTGCGTGAAACACTTTGCGGAGGGCACACACGTCATTGTCGACAGCGGCGAACATGCCGGTGAGAGCGGCACGGTGGTAAAGGCAGCGGGTGATATTGTGTACATCTTCTCCGATCGTGCCACCGCCTCACGTGAGTTGGCGGTGCAAGCCAGTGAATGCCACCAAAGCAACCTGGTCGGTTCGTTCGGCCACACATCGGGTTCTTGGAGGCTCTTTGATTTAGTGATGCTGGCTGACACTGCGTCCGTGGCGTGTATTGTGCGTCTTAACCGCACTGACGTGTGTGTATTGACAGATCGCGGAGAGACTCGGTACTTGTCGCCGATGCAGATCAAGGCTGCGATCACTGGTTCGCGCCAAACAACTGATCGACTGAGCAACATCATCACACGTGGGATGGAGGTGATCATACAGTCCGGCCCCAACACACCGTACCACCTCATCGGGCAGACAGGACGCGTGGAGCAATTATTCAGTGGAACTCTTTTCGTCCGCGTCCGTAGCGTGAAGGAGAACGCGGGATTGGTGGTCCTTAATGCGAACTCGGTCCAGCTGATTGGAGGCCGTACTACCACGAAACAGATTCAACCACCCAGACAACTTCCGATGGCGCAGCGCCGCCCGCACAATGCTACAATGGCTGATGTGTCTGTGCCGAACCCACGCATGACGTCGGAGGAATGGACGAGCAACTCGGAATGGTACGAAATGGATACAAATTGATCGAATTGAACAAGACAATCTGCAGCTGGGAACTATCCACCGGTGGTGAGAAGGGTGCAAAAGAGAGGAACACAAAAAAACAAAAAGTNAGCGAAGAGAAAAGAGGAGGGACATCATGCGTTGCTTCGTCTTTCGCTCCCCTTATTCACGAAACCCATTTGGTGGCCATGCTGTTTTTGAATAAAGAATGGCAGGATAGTCTCGTCACGTCGTAAAGAAGCTTCCTGCAATGCTCTGACCTGTCTGTTATGCGGCCCACGCCATAAACTGCGAGCGTCTCTCTTTCTCGCTTGCTTTCTTTCTTTCTTTTATCTTTAGTGCCCTTCACCTTTTGGGGCCTGTACTGACACACAGCACAGAGCTTGCCTAGGGGATGGCTCGCGGACTCTTTCTTCGTGCCGCTGCGCTCCGCTCGGTGCAAACCGGCGCTGTTCTCTCCCAGCGCTGCGTGGCCGCCTCCACAAGCATCCAGCTGCGTAGGTTTCGCTATTCCCAACCTCTTAATCTGGAGCTGAATCCATCCAAGCAGCTTTACACCATGGATCACGCATTCGAGGAGCCGACGTTTCGCTTTATCTGCGAGGGTGTGGACATAGACTACAAGGAGGAGGTGCGAGCGGCACTCCTCGAAGTGATTCCACCAAAGCCGTCAAACTTTACCAGCTGTTCCAACGAGACGTGGATGCAGGAGATCACACCACAGCGCACACTGCAGCTGCTTCGTTCTATCGCTAAGAGGCAGCTGCTCTCGTTTGCGCAGATAAAGTCAACCCCACAGTTATTCTCGGCATTCTTTGAGACCTTGGCAATGTGCAACAGTGCGTTGGCACTCGTTTCGGCCGACCACTTCACGTTCGCGGCAATGGTAGCGACACACGGGTCAAAGGATGTACAGGTGACGTTACTAGATGATGTAGACAGTTGCAGCATCCTTGGTGCGATTGCGCACAGAGAGCTCATCGCGGAAGGTATTCCATTGAACACGGAGGCGCGGTACGACAAGGAGGAGAACTGCTTTTTCCTCCGAGGAACAGGTAAGTTCGCGGTTGTGGCAGCGGCGTTTGCGGATTGGGCTATCGTCACAGCAACCGTAACTCTCAAGAAGGAGGACAACCACGGACCGCATGCTTTTGTCGTGCAGCTGAGAGAGCGTGGTGCCTTAAGAAAGGGAGTGAGTGTTAGGCCCATACAAGGTGAGCATCCAACGATGGGTGCGAGTGGTGTTGGTGTCATACACTTCGACAACGTTCGTATACCCGTCACAGCGCTGCTGCTTCCGTCCCAGATTGTGAACGGAGAGCTCACAACAATAGGAGATGTTGACACACCAACATCGCTGCAGGTGTTGACGCAGCAGACACGCTTGGCGACTGCCGCACTCTACGCTGGGACGCTGAAGAAGTTCTTGACGGATATAATTCATTTTATCTCACAGAAAGATATCGTGGGTCCAGACGGACGGCGCAATTACCCTTTCTTTGGGGTGCAGCACGTGCAAACACCTCTCGTCAAGATTCTTGCGAAATCGTACGCGTACTTGGCGTGCTGGCGGCGTGTGCTAACAGCTTTCACCAAACCAGCAGAAAAGCATCCCACCTACGAGGATGAGATGAAACTTGCAGGGACTATCCACTTCTTGCAGGAGAGTTTGTTGGAATTGCATCAGTTTGCAGATAACTTCATGGGTGTCCATGCTTCAGTTAGTAGCACTGGCAACAGTGATGCCGTCGTTATGGTGCACCTACGACAAGAAGGAGTGGACCAGTCATCACTGATTCGTGAAGTTGCGTTCAAATCTGTCACAAGGAATATTGGTACAACCCATTGGGGTTGGTGGCTCACAAACCTGCTGGAGCCCTTTGCTGCGGCAGACAGGCTGGTCAAGAACCCCTTTTATTCCCCTCGTATTGCTGATCTCGGCAGACACCTGATGTTCTTCAGCCACAAACACTACCGGGCGAAGAAGCGGTTACGGCAGTCCCGCGAGATTGAGCGTCGAAAGGGTGGAGTCGAGCATCAGTGGTACGACTGGGTGATGTTCCGCCACCAGCAGGTGCTGCACTGCGGTGAGGCGTACATGGAAATGTATTCCATGGAGGTGATGATGGACGAGACGCAGGGGTGCACTGACCCACGGGCGCGGAAGTTGCTACGCGACATTGGCTGGGTTTTCGCCCTTGCGCGGCAGCAGGACCGCCTTGATTACATCTTGACACAGCAGCTGTTGAGCCCTGGGAAAGCTAACGTGCTCGGCTCCCATCTGGACAACCTCGTTACAGTTTTGGCAGCGCAGTGCATTAACCTTGTGGATGCATTTCAGGTTCCAGAGTCGTTCCGTGCACCGTGTGCGGCTAACGATGTGGAGCCGTACTGGACAATTCCAGGTACTAACACTGGGATCCAGCGCGGCGACAGGGTTGTGCTGTTTCAAACCAAGAAACAGAAGGGAGACACTAAGGCCGAACAGGAGAATATGCGGGAATCAGATGAGGAGTTCGATCTCTTCCACGGATTAGCAGACAAGCCCTCTTTTGCCCAAACAAAATGAGTTTTCTTTACACTGTTTGGATTTGGTACGAGAATCTGGGATGGGCGCAATTTGCATACATCAATGTGTGTGTGTGTGTGTGTGGGAAGTATATCTTCTTGATGTGAGCAATCTTCTGTAATGGTGCGATTTTTTTTGTTTCTTTTGCTTTGCTTGTTTACTTTTTGTTTTTATTTGGCCGCATAGGAAAGTACAACAGCATGGATTCACTGCATGAGGCCCATCTAGAGCGTATACTGGAGAACCGTCGCCGGCGCGGGGTTCTTGTCAATTACACCGCGCGCCGTGGCCCATCCACAGCGACACAAACTGAGCAGTGGGCCCCACAAAAGAAACTCGAACCGCCGATGCAGCTGAAGTCCGACTTGAGCCCAAGTCCTCGAATAATACCAAGCTATGCCACAGCTGATGAGGCCGCACCACACAAAACCCCGAAAGAGGCAGCTTGCTTGGATGAGGCGACAGAATCCACCGGCCGATCCCGAAACAATATGAATGGGCAGCATGGAGGAGATAAGGCCACACTGAACCATAGTGCCATGGAGTATAGCGGTGTGGCGTCTGACGAACGCATGTTACGCTATGGTGGTGATAACAAGAGCCCATCTGGAAGGAGCCCTCGTTGGGGTGCCGACAACTCGCGCCGTGGCTGGCGTTCGTCGAGGAACCCCTCCGCCGCCAGGATTCGTAACAGTTACAATTCAAGGAAAAATGATCTGATCTCCTCGAGCAGGTCTCCCGGAAGAACAGTCCCGCGGATCGAGTACGGCTCTTCCGAACGCCAGTTCTCTTCCTCACGAGGGTGGGATGCTGGTGACTCCTACAGGAGCCGCAATGTGTCGCCACACATGCGTTATTCATCGCCCAGCGGTGGTAGTCTTTCTCAACGTCCACACAGCCGCCCTTCTGAAAACCACAGAAGGAATTCCAACGGCTACGTGGATAGCCCTCTAAGTGGCCGTCAGCCACCGTCGCGGCGTCAGCCGAAGCACTCAAGGGGTGATGTGCTGCATCGATTCCCCGACGAGCGTGACAGAGGTGCAGCTGGGTCTGTGATTTATTCGGGAGATGTAGGCCCACTAGCATCTCCTGCTCGCCGCCGGCCGCCTGGCCCGCCGCTTCCGCAAGGGCCCCCGCCTTCCAATGTCCAACGTAATAGTACGGCGAACACAACCAATAATGTAACTGGGCTGCCGGGTACGCGATCGACGATAGATATCCGTACAAGCGTGTCGATCTTGGCAGCCGGTGATTGGTTCTACAAGTGGAACAGCAAGGGAACAACAGTTTCCCCGCGGTGGGTATGGCTGGACGCACAGAGTCACCTCTTGTTGTGGGCGCATAGGGAAACCTACGAGAACTCCTTCGCTGGCACCATCAAGCTTGAGAAGATTGTTCAAGTGGCTTCTCGGGAGCTGCAGCAGCTGAATGATGATGGCGTCCCGCAGACCTACTACGTCATACTCGTGGAAACGACACGACGTGTGCTGCAGCTAGCGACTGAAAGGCGTGTGAAGGCCGACGTGTGGTGCGAGGCACTGAACAACGTTTTATCGTATCTGAGAGCTCTCACTTTTGGCAGCACTCATCTGCAGCCAGCAAGTAACTGAGTTTTCAATAGAAGCAACGAAAAATGAAGGGGAGAAGGGAAGAACATAAGAAGATGGGGGATAGTCTCTCTATCTCTGTGTGTGTGTCTCTGTGTGTGGCGGATGTGCCTACTTCATATGACACACGCTTCTCACCTCGCCCCTCCCAACCGGCAATGTGAATTGTGTATAAGTCACACTAACGGATCGAGGGAGGATGCAGACAAAGAAAAGCAGGCGAAAGAAGATGACAAGGAAAAGAAGGGTGAGGTGCGTTGCCGAATGCGCCTCCTATCGATAAAATAAAGAGTGCGGCCTTCGAACCCCCTTCCTGACTGTGACGACTGGCCTGCCCGCACCCAATGTATCACCCCGCCTTCTGGCTTCCTTATCGTAACGCATCCGCAGTGGCGGGGGTGCTGCTGCCAACTGTTGGGTGGTGCGCAGCCACCAAGAGAGAGAGGAACCGAATGGGAGAGGACGGACGCAACTATCGTTGTATTTCGTTAATATAGGCTTACTGAAAGGGTGAAGCCACAACAACAACAACAACAACAAAGGTACGCGAAATAAAATGGAAGGCCAGGGAACACCTCGCTCCTCCCTTTGTCGCTTCCTTGTATTGACATGCAAAGAGATACGTTTTGTTTTCGCCTCCTTTACCGCCTGCGCATGGCCATACAGATGCGTGGAGCTATCCTCCTCCCAGTGTGTCACACGTGCACGTACTCTGATAGAAGTACTATCAAGCAAAAAAAAAAAAAACAACAACAATAAAAAAGAATGGAAAACGTTGGAGAACATTATTGCCATTTGTTTTTTTTTCGTTACGAACGCAAATTCTGACTTCCTCTTTTTCCGTATTGGTTCTTTAGACAGAACCCCAAGACCAAGGGCGCGAGAAGACAACAGCTGCAGTGCTATAGGCCCGCCCTCCCCTCCTCCTCACCAATGTTCGTTGACGACGTCGTTCTGCGTGCGGCGGCACCTCCCGCTGTGCGCGTGCCCACACTAGAGCCGTCGACATCGTCCTTCGCCACCACCCGCATGCTCCGGAGCAATGTGCAACACCAGCGTAAGCAGCAGCAGCAGCAGCAGCCACATCGGTCCACACTTAGGGACCACTACCAGGCAAGGCAGCTGGGGCTCGCGCAACAGAACCCCCACCACGCCGATCCCTTGGAGGAGATGGAGAACACCACGAATGACGTTCACATTGAGGAGCTTATACGTGGCATCAAGGAGACAAGTGCCGCTGCCACCGCCGCGATTGAGGAAATCACCGGTGGATCGCCTCCTCCGCGCCCAGTAACGCCATCGTTGCAGCAGACACCACCGGAGCAGCTCCATTTTCGGAGCGCGTCGCCAGAACGCACAAATTACGTGCGCTCGTCATCCGCGACGAGGCCCAGGCGAGACGGCTCACCGGCACGTCCTGCATGGAACCAAAACCGTCCAACGCCTCGCGTACGGCCTACCGTCAGCGCCCCACGAACGGAGCCACGCCGAGTGACACGCGAGGCCAGTGCTGATAGTCGCAGCCGCCCGTGGCTTGAAGGCGTGCAGCGCACAAACAGTTTGAAGGGTCAGTTGAGCGGCGATAATGGCGTGAAAACCAACAGCGGNGCCCGTGGCTTGAAGGCGTGCAGCGCACAAACAGTTTGAAGGGTCAGTTGAGCGGCGATAATGGCGTGAAAACCAACAGCGGCTCTCCAATATCTGCTACTAAACACATCAGAACAACACCGCTGTCAGCAAGGCAGACGCCATCTGCAAGGGTGACGGCATCTCCCGCTACGGCCTCACGCAGGACAACTGCCGCGGCTCTTCCGAAGGATGCGACTGCCCTCGAACCACGGCTTGATTTCTTGGAGAAGTCGCTCCAGGACACCCAGCAGCGAGCAGTTCGGGCGGAGGCGAGGTGCGAGGAGCTGGAAGTCGCACTGCAGACATTGACGCTGCAGCACCGCGAGACAACCTCGCGTTTGGAGGAACGCAACGCCCAGCTGAATGCGCAAGTTCAGTACGCGCTGCAGTGGATTCAGCAGTGCGATTTGAAAAGGCTGGAAAAGGAAAATGATGCACACGACACAGAAGCGGAAACGGGACGACTTGGCGCTCGTGTTGTTGAGGCGCCATTGAGTCTCTCGACCAGTGACGACGTCATTGGGTCTACATACAACTCTGCGAGCGTGAACCCTGTAGACATGGCGCCGCGTGAGGTGGCCGTTAGAGCCACAACGGTGCGTGTGCCACCAGCCCCGCCCATGACTCTTCA